GTAAGTCTCTCGATATTTTCCCGCTCTCTATTCCTTCGCGCTTTCGAGCGAGCTCAGCGATTCGCTCGAAAGCGCGCGCGCGTGCGTGTGTGTATACGAGCTGTGGTGTACGTATGGGTGCGTGCGTGTACAACCTTCGAGTCGGAGAGAAAGAGAGAAAGAAAGAGAGAGAGAGAGAGAGAGAGAGAGAGAGGGAGAAGGGGAGAATCGTCTTGACGAAGAAGCGCGCGTGCGATCGCAGCAAGATCGCGCGAAAGCCGAAGCTGCCGAAGGAGCTAGTCGCACCTCAGTGCCAAGATCCCGAAGACGCTAGAGAGACTCGGAGCCGAGACTCCCGTCGTAGCCTTCGTCATCGGCGAGCTTGTTTCGTTAGGCTAATCTTTGCGCCTTCTCTGCGTCCTACTCCGCGTAGAATCGGATCTTCAGTTTGTTCCCCGAAGACAAACGCTCGGCCCGGAATACCGAGCTATAATCGACCGACAGATCCAGAGAGAAAGATCTAGTCGAATACTCGAGAGGTGACATCAACCGAGATAAAGAATCCCGACGACTCGAGTGTCGTGCGCAATGCTGTAACATTGCGAGCAAGCGTGCAACTTGAGAGTCACGAATCCCTCTCGTGATTCCCGATGAAAAATCACGACCGCTCACTGCGAATATATCGTTCGACTCAATCGCGAAGGGTGTTTCCGGCCGCGAGAGCATTTGTCGCGGCAGCATCCGTCTTCGGATGACTAATAAACTGAGCTTCGATAACTACACCGAGTTGTGCTCCCCTCCTCCCAGAAAGAAGAAGAAAAAAAAAACCAGTTCCGTCGCAACAACTGCGACTCGTCCCGCCGCCGCGCCGGTCCTCGTCGCGCATGCAGTCAGTCAGGATCGGCCGATCGGAGATCGGCTGCGGGGGGTGGCGAAAGTTCAGCGCGGAACACGCGCGCGGGCACGTGAGAAAAAAGAAAAGCGAAAACAAGGGGGGGAATGATGTAATAATGAAGGCGGGCGAGCGAGCGTTGTTTTACAGGGCCGGTTATTTCGCGGCGACGCGGCGCATCGATAGCTGTCGAAATCGGAGACCAGAGTTCGGCCGGTTTTTGCGGTCGATATGACGCCCGAACAGAGATCCATTTTGCTTTTTCCACCGTGTAGGTGTTGTCTAAACACGCCGGGCTCTCGCATCAATACCGCCGGCCACCGTACGGTAAACCCGGTACACATACGCATCTATACATATACGCGCGCGCACACGCACACTCACACACACACACACATGTGTATTTCGTGCCCGCTAAAACTAAGCGTTATTTGCCGGACACTAGAATCCGCGGTACAGCCCACTCTCGCTGAAAGAAGCGGCGGCCTTGGCCGCTTCTTGCACGGTGCCGGCCTTCGAGTCGCGCGCGCGCGCGCGCGCGCGGGGTCCTATCCGCCATGCCGCGATACATGCGCTTAATGTAACGCACGTAACAAACACACACAAACACATGCACAATGCTCGCTATGCATTCCTCGATAAGATTCTCGTCTTCGTGAAAACGTCGATTAGTCGGCAAGATAACAGGGCGGAGAAGGGCGACTTTATCGTCGCGTGAGCGCCACGATATCCCTTATCGGTGAGCAACGCTTCTCAGGAGGATCCAGCCGAGGTCTCGACGAGAAGTCGGACCGCTCATTAGGCTCTCCTTCGTTAAACGACTGAGACTTTACAAGGCGAGCGCCGTTCGTGAAGCGCGAATCGGCGCTACCCCGACGTGTGTCGCGTGTGCTCATGCCGTCGTCGTCGTCGTCATCGTCGTAGGTCGTTTCTTTCATCGTCTTTGGTATTTTTCTTTAATTCGCCCGAACGATCGGCCGGCCGGATCGTGCCGCCGCCGTCGTCGTCGTCGTCGTCGTTGCGTTAAAAGCGTTTATTTACGTTCGTCAGTATCGACATTAACCTTTTAAACGACGCGGTCGCGCATACACACACACGGCTATCGCACCCGCCATTCATATTTGTTTTTATCCGCGTCCACGGCGCGCGTGCACGGAAATATCTTGGAGCGGGAGCGAGCTGGACGCGCGATACACGATTTTATGAGCCACATGTTCTCGCAATATACGCGCGCGGATACAAATGGCGGCGGGGCTTGGGGATCAGGTGAGCTGAAAGTTCGCGGCGCATCGCGCGCCGGCCCGCGGACGGAATTTCTCTCTTCTCCTCCTCCTCCTCCTCCTCTCTCTTTCTTCCCCTATCTATCTATCTATCTGTTTCTCCTTCTCTCCTTCCCGCTCCGTCCACTCCCGACGTCGTCGGGCCCCGGCAAAAACGAGATTGTTCTTGCCGTTTCTTTTGCGATATCTCGATATCGCGTTATGAATGGCCGCGGGAAAAAGAGGAGCAGGTAGTGTGGATCCACTACGCGCGACGGCGAGTATCCGCCGGCAGACTTTACAGATGGTGGCCCCGCGAGTGGCGTTAAGTGGAGGAGGAAGTCGTGCGAGCGCGCGCGCGGCTCTCAGCGCGAAAAAGCAGAAAACTGCGAAGGATCGAGTGTGTCGTCGCGCGCGCGCGTGGGTTAGCGTTACTCTTTAGCGCGCGACCGCTGTCGCCTTCTCACACTCTTCTCTTTTTTCCCCTCCCCCCCCTCTCTCTCTCTCTCTCTCCCTCCCTCTCTCTCTCTTTTTTTTTCCTCAACTCTTCCCGCGACGCGAGACCATTTTAGACGATCGATTTCTCCGTCTGCCGACGGTCGCGCGCAAGAAGAGGCTCCGTCGGAGCGCCGGCTCGGAAGTGCACGCGTATCTCGGCTCTTCGAATACTCGCCGGCTTGAATCGACGCAATTTGCGACCGAGTGTTTCGCGAGTTTTCCTTTCTTTCTGTTTTCCTTTTTTCTCCTCCGACGCGCGCGCTCGGCGCGCACATTAGCGGCGCGCGACGGCAGTGCAGCTGAGGAGGAACAGCGACGACGAGAGCTAGTTGGCCGCCCCCGCCCTCCCCCCTCCCCGGAGGCGGGAGAGCACCGCGCCGTCGTTGTTGCACGTGTCGTGTCCGTTTGCAAATACCGCGAGCCGCGAAACAACAACCTTACGATACGACGGTTTCGCGGCGAACTTGAGCCCGCGGAGAATATTACATTCTTTTTCGATCGCCGTCGCGCCACGGCCCGCCGATTCCGCTCCGGAGAGTGGAGGACTGATAAGCATGCAAAACCGACGGTATCGCGAGCAAGGGTCATTTCTTTCCGAGACGTCGATGAGTCAGTCGCGAAGACAGAAATAACGGTCGGCGCACGGACGACGAGAAATAAAACGACGGGAATAAAGAAAGAGAGCGCGATAACACCGAGCGTGCACACGAGCGAGCGGAGTGATCGAGAGGAGGGAGGGAGGGGGGGAGGGAAAGAGAGAAAGACCGTACGTTCGTTCCGCTCCAATTTTGAAATACGGGGCACGATCTATCATCCTTGAAAATTGGAGTAAAAGCTCCGCCTTCTCTCTCTCTCTCTCTCTCTCTCTTTTTTTTCAGTCCGCCAGTATTTGCAGCGTTTCCGTCGGTATGATACATTAAAACAAGCCATCGAACGCATGATAAATCGGACGTTTTACATCGCCATCCTCCGGCGCCGATACGAAAAAAGAACAGACAAATTTCGATAATACGTAGCGCGACAGCGAGTGTCAGAACTATATAGGGTGTATCGAAATTAGCGGGGATTCGAGCGGGCGCGCGTTCTTTCGGCGATTTAATTGGACGGAGAACCCGTCGATGCGACGATTTTCCCCCATTTTGTCGCGGGCTGCTTCGTGAAACGCGCGCGGACGGAAAGTGATCCCCGCGCGTCGTTAATAAAGCCGCGTATCGACGGTGCTTTAGGCACGTACGAGTAGAGACTGGAAAGAGGGAGAGAGTGAGAAAGAGAGACAAACAGAGATATGGAAAGTCCCCGAGAGGCATAAATTTGTTCTTAAACGGCGCTTCGACGCGCTCTCTCGCGCAGCCTTCAGCTCTCTTTCTTGAAGATTGACAGTATAATATGACGAATATCGGATCGCATAATACGTACAAGTGAACGATCACGCGGCGGCGTTCTCTCCGCGTTCCTCCCGTCCGCGGAGAGGACTTTCGCTGAATATCGAAAGTAATAACACGATAAACAAATATCACCGTCGATTATGTCACGTGTCTTATGTCACCGCGTCATCGGAATTTTCATTAGGTCGTCTATTTACGCGTGTATATCCATAAGCTCGCTCGGACACTGACCTCGCAGCCATATCCAGTGAATATCCTCGCGGTCGAACAAGGATCGATATACACCGCGGATTCGGATCCCGGAGCAGAGTCGAATTGAGCGCACGCGCGCGCGCGCGAGAAGATCGTCCCGTCGCGTTGCGGGGCCCAACAAAATTTTACGTAACATGTAAATGCGCTCCTCGTGAATGCGGTCGCGTTGCGTGCTCCTCTCTCTTTTTTTCGTCTCTTTCCCACCCCCTCCTCTCTCTCTCTCTCTCTCTCTCTCTCATTCTCTCTCTCTCTCTCTCTCTCTGTCTATTGCCGAAGCAGCACTTACGAAACCAGTTTCGGACGTCAGCCGGTTTTCGGTCTCTCTCGCGGCCGACAAACTTTTTTCCTTCCACTCGAGAGGAGAATGCGCGTCGAGAGAGAGAGGGGGAGGGAGAGTGAGTGAGAGAGAGAGAGTGAGAGGAGAGGCCCCCAAGTTCAGAAATATTATCACGTTGTCGCCGGCGACGACGGCGGCGGCTCTCCCGTGTGTCAGTGAAATCCCCCGCGGCTTCCTAGGCACCCACCCCCGCGCTCTTCTCCGGCTACCCCCGGGGGCAAGACTGAGGAGAAGAAAGATAGAGGCAAGGAGATAGAGAGAGAGAGACAGAGAGAGAGAGAGAGAGAGAGAGAGAGGAGAGAGGGGAGCTTGAGAGCTCCTTTGCGAATTTCGTCACGCGCGCCGAAGGGACGCGCCGGCTGGTTCTTGCATTTGTATTCGTTGCGCAAGGTCCGGTC